GAAATTGCTACGAAAAAGAGTTGCATAGGACTCAGGATGTGAAAATAGAATAGAGTTTGGACTGGTTAGAGAAATCAGGGAAGGCTTCTTGGAGAAAGGAACTTTTATGCTGAGGTAGGGATAGGGCACATCCCAGGAACTGGCAGAGGCCAGGGTTTCTGGAGCTCATAAGGGAAGTGGGGGCCTAAACTCTGCAGGGCCTCTCTGGCCTTGGGAGGGACTTAGTTCATTGTTCTTAGAGCTCTGGGAAGCCATCGCAGGGTTTGCTGCTGGAGCTGACATGAGTAGGTGGAATACTGACTGGAGGGACAAAGTGGATGTGGAGAGACCAGAGACGAGGCAGTTGCAGTATCCAGGCAGGTGTGGGTATCTGGTTTAGGGGTTACTGACAGTGTTGGAGATGAGTGAGCAGAATGGAGATGCATAGGAGGCAGACTTGGGAAGGACTGTTCTGTGAAGGGCGATAGGTGGGTGTCTGACTCTGACTTGTGTGGCAGGACTAGGGACACAGGGAGACGCCCTTAGTTGGCTCCTTTGGGAGAGAGTAGGGGAAGATAAATAATTTGTTTTTTAGCATGTTGAGTTTTACCTGGGAATGGGGTTGTGGAGTAAAGCTGTAGTCTCTTGGCAGCTAGTGTCTACCTCTTAGTTCCCACCATGGGAATCCCCTTTCCTCTGGGGTATCTCAGACCCTCCACTTGTAAGCCAGCCTGTATTGCTACGCCTGGTCAGATCAGTGTACCAGGTTTTGAGGGCCACTTTGTCCAGCCCTGTCCTAGGCACTTACATATTATGCCACGAGACTCCTCATGGGTAGTTCCAGAATCATTTTCATGCAAGATGATGAGGCACAGAGGCTCTGGTAGTGTAATTGGCCTTCAGAGAAGGGAGAGGTGAGCCTGGGGACTTGAGGATCCTTGTGCTGTAAGCAGCCGAGATGCCATCCTTGTTGCAAGTACTTACCTTGGCAGTTGGTCTTTATTAACTAATTAGTTTCTAAGACCAGGAAGATGTGACAGCGTAGCAAATATTTTTAAGGGTAGTTGTAGACAATTTTGGTAACTTTGGAGGCCAGGGAAAGGTATTAGATACAATGAAAATAAATATAGTTGTAAGGTTACCTTGAGTCTGTCATTATGTGGGTATCCATATGCAAGTATGTTTGTGTGTATGTTAAATTGTGCAAAAACAGGAAATGACTCAACTTGTATTATTGGTAAAACCTGTGTAAATTGAGGACAAGAAGGAAGTGGCTTGACTTGTAGTTCAGTAGTACAACTTGTATAAATTAAGGTAGATTCTAACTTTTAAAAAATTGTGAGAAACCTTGTCTTTCTGTTAAAAACAAAAAGATTATTCTTGGCTTAAATTCTCTTAAGCTCTGTGCAGATCAGTGTCTGCTGTGGTAGGGCATGGCACCTCCAGGAAGGGAAGGGCGCTCTCCTCTGGTCCCCTGGGGAGCAGACAGCTTTGGGAGCAGCCTCTCAAGGCCAGGCTTCTAGCTGCTTCCATATCCTTACCCACCTGGTCTCCTCACTCAGAGGCAGGGACTACTTACTCTGTAAAGCAGATACTTGTCCTCCCCAGAGGCTGCCAGTCATGTCTTCTCTCCACTCTGGCCAGCATTCTGCCTTCTAGCAACAGTAAATATTATTGCTCTGCTTGGCTCTTAGCTGTGTCCTGCACTGCCTGAACACGAAACAGTGGGGTTATATGAGCAGGGTGCCACGTAACTTGGCCTGCACCCAGCACCAACGCCAGCCTCCCCTTCTCCCCTCCTCTTACTGGAATGTGCATGTTGGATTCCTGAGTGCACCAGAGGGAAGGCTCCAGCTCTGTGCAGCTGCATATCCAAGGTGATCACTCCATAGGATGCAATCAAGCCTTTTGGGTTGAAGTAGACAAGAAGCACTGCCTTTTTCATCGTGTCCTCTTCATTGTCCCAAGTAACAGAGAAGGGGTTTATCTTTTAAATTCTTAAAAAAACTTAAAAAATTTTTAAATGATTTTAGAGAGAGAAAAAGTAAGGGGGGGGGAGAGAGAGAGAGAGAGAGGGAGAGAGAGAGAGAGAGAGAGAGGGAGAGAGAGAGAGAGAGAGAGAGAGAGAGAGAGAGAATACTTTGGTGTATAATTATAGCTAGTGATGATTCCCTTCCCTGGTTCCTGTTATTGGAGGATTCATATATCAGGGAAGAAAAGCCCAGCCCTGTCTAGAACTCAAGCTTACAGAACAGAGTGCTTGTACAGTGTGTCTCACTGGATCTCTTGACAGCTGGTGGGTAAGGTAGGGCTGACAACTGTCAGATGAAATGATTGAGACTTTAGGAGTAATCCTGGGTTAGTTACATATCAGGTAAATGATGTAGCTGAAACCTGAACCCAGGAGCCAGTGGAGGTTTGGGGTGAGGGCTAGGGGTCGGGGAAGGGATTGTTCGGCATATAATCAGAACCCCGTGATGTGCAAGCAGAGAAGGGAGGTCCTCCGAAGCAAGCTTGAGATGCTGTCCCAGAGACAGGGGAGCAAATGCCAAACAAGCAAAACAACAGGTGCCCACTGCACCTTTAAAAAAGATTCCTCTCTGAGGCGTGAGTCATTCAAGCCCATGGCGAATTCCCTTTCGGTTTCCAATAATTGGGATTTTCATTCTACCCAGCTGTCCTCACTGGCCTACAGCCCAGTATTGACTCCATACCAGTACTCATTACCTAATCTTCCATCAGGGGGACCGGCCTCTTTATCAGCTTTGTGGGGCCCACGTTGTTCTCAGGTTTGTGCTGTGGCGGGGTGTGCTGTGTGCCCGGGACAGTGAGATCAGGTTACCTTCTGGTCATAAGCTAACAGGCCCTGCTCCTGGTCCTCCTGTGAAAGGCCCCACAAAGGCCCGGGTGTGCAGAACGAGCCGCTCCTTGATCCTCACTGGCAGCTACCCCTGGCAGCCCCGCTTTTCAGGTGCGTGCTGAGAGCTTTCCCCAGCGTGGCTTGCATTTCGCTTTATTTCCACTTTGTTGAGAAGATTGTCCAGCTTGAGTCGTTCTTGCCCTACTGGGGGGAGGCACAGGAGGATTTTTACTGAGTTCTGATCGGGAGGACATTTTGACTAAAACAACACGGAGCACAGCCGTGTCCACATCCCACCTTGGGCCTCTTGGAGGGCTTTGTCTTCCACTCTGAAAGGTTGTAATTCCCTTTTCTCATCCTGCCTGCCTTCCTTCACACAGGGTCCTGACTCTCGGCTGCATCTGTGTCTTTCTTGCCAGGGAGTGATTTATGTTCTCGGGGATCTCCTCAGCCTGGGTTGGCCAGTTTTAAGAGATGCCTGACTCTTCTGCCAGCATCTTGAGACTTTTTGCCAAAGGACCATTCCATTAAAGTGACTGAACCAAGGAGAGATGGGAGACTGTTGGCTGTTGTCTCCCTGTTCTCCTTCTCCACTCCGAGTGCCTTCCTCGCTGGTGTAGAGCAGAGGTCCTTGCAGGAGCCACAGCGAGCTCGGGACCTGTGCCATCTGAGCCACTGAGAGGGCTGGCTCAGAGCAGGAGCCGCTCATATCCAGTGTGGTGCCCCAAGCCCCACACCCGAGAGTGGGACGGTCCAGCCTGGCTCTCCTACTGGCAGCCATTGTTTGGAGTGAACACTCAGATTGACGAACTGAACATTGGGGGTCGGATTTGTATACAGTCCCCCGCCCCTCACTCCCCATATTAAACAGCACAATCAGAGCACTGCCAGGTATGTTGGAGAGGAAACAAGCAAAATCAAAAGATGGGAAAAACCTAACCACCAACCTCAAGGGCCAAATCTGGGAACTGAAAAAGAGAAGTGCTGAGGAACATGGGTGCTTTTATTTTGGTAGGTTTTGTTGATATGTGAAGCCAGAATTCCCCAACCCCCCAACCCCAATATCTTATTAAAGCCAGGCCTTGTTGCCAGTTATGCCTCATATTTCCCTCCTCTGGGAATTTGAACATAATGCCATTTCCCCTTCAATGAGGGGAACATGGACCAGGGTAATTTGAGTGATTAGCCTAATCTGCAGGAAGGCTGCACATGGAATTAAGTTAAGCACATTTGTATTGAGCAGCCGTGGCTGTCAGGCCACTGGAAGGTACCTTGGTGGTTTTATGCCATTAGCAGAAGTTGGTTCATAGAAGGATCATTGGCTTTTATTACTGACTTAAATGAAAGCTTTTTGTTTACGTTTGACAAGGGCCTCTGAGAGCTTTCTTTATAGATACCACGTGTGGGGTTATACCATGTATGGGGTTACTCCAACCCCAAACATTGCCAGGGCTTTGTTCTTATGGCAGTAGGTGGGCGTGGTGACCCAGGGAAATGGTTCGGGCAGACATTTGTCAGGCTGGCCGGCCTCTCTGCTCCAGCGGGCTCTGAGAACTCAGGCCTCACCTGTGCTGGAGTTGGAAGAGGAAGTCTAGGTCCTCCTGTGCCATGGGGACAGGGCAGCTCCCAGCTCTTTCTCCCAGTAGTTTGTGGTATGAGTTGGACTAGCGCAGTGGTTGGCAAACTTCAGCTTGCAAGCCACATGTGGCTCGTGAGCCGCAGTTTGCCGACCACTGGACTAGGGCAAGGTGTTGTTGCATCTGGCATGGGGGCAGCTTCACTGACCACGTGGAGGGTCAGGGACTGAGCCGACCTGCAGGGCTGTAGTTGCTAAAGCCACACCTCCTCCCCGACCTCCTAGGCAAGTGGATCCCCCCTGTGTCAAATGGAGAAGGAGGACTTGCTATATAGCTGGAGGAATTAGAAATAGGGCCAACATTGTTAAAGCAAATGCAACAAACATACTAACTTCTAAAGCAAATCAGCATGTTATGTTATAAACAAATGTTTATTATTTTGAATTTTTGTTCTTTTGTGATTTGAAACGGACTCAGGAAGAAATCTGCTAGTTGCTGTAGTACTGGAAGGACTAAAAAAGTACAGCAAATAAGAAAACCAGTTCATTTCAGTAATTCGCATTTCTTACTCTTTTTCTTACTAGATTTGTCTTCAGCGAAGAGGAAATTTGCAGATTCCTTAAATGAATTTAAATTTCAGTGCATAGGAGATGCAGAGACAGATGATGAAATGTGTATAGGTAAGTCATAACTGTGCTGTTTATCACAACTTCCATTGTCTTTGCTGAGCCTTTTTCTGGGGATAAGAAGAATCTAAGTGTCATAAATTATAATTACAGTGGAGAGGGTAGAGTTGAGCGAATATCAGGAATTGGGGCTATTCTGGGCTTCGTGGAGCTCTGGGATTGCCTCTAGCCCTCAGCCTGCATCAGAGAGCTTGAAGGTTTGTAGTGTGCTCTCCTCTCCCCTCCCTTTAGTGTTCTGCTTCTGGCTGCTCTTGTGCCGTTCTTCCCCACAGCCACAGTGCTAAGAACTTTGAGCAAAAGCAGAACGCAGGTGGATGGGGGAAGAATTAGATCAGAGGTTTCAAATGCCAGCTCATGGGTTGAGATCAGAATGCAGCCATGTTTTCTTTGGCACTCACTTATATAATTGAATTACCATATAGATTGAATTTATCCTGAAGTTTCCATTCTCCAGCTTCTTTGAACATTGGAGAATCTGATCATCTGGCCCCGCATTCTGCCTGGCTACAGTCGGCTGGAGCTATGTAGCTGCTGTTGTCTTCAAATGGGGAGAAGCACTCAGTGTGTAGCTCACAATGCTCCCCACCTCTCCCTTTTGTTTCTTTAACAAGAGGCTGATGGTGGAGTTACCATTTATTACCTCACTGTGCTGCTTCACTCTTCACAATCACCTGTCTGCCTTTTGTAGGCAACGCTGGACACTGAGGATTTGCAATGCCAGGACACCTTTCTTTGCCAGGGCCTAGTCGTTGTACTTTATTCTTCTGACATTGGACATCTTGGTTGACTCCATGAAGTGAGCAAGAATTGAGAATGTTATGTTGAATTAATTAAGTCATCAAATGCTTACTGAGTTCCTGTTGCCTTGCAGTGCACCAGGATCTGGGGATGAGCACAGGCAGTTGGGAGACATCTGAGAGCAGTGAAAATCCATCATTGTTGTAAATCCTGAATACATGGATGCCTTCCCCAACATTATACAGATGTTCCACATATCCTCAGGGCTTTTGCACTTAATGCCTGTTGCCTTTGGGAATAATTGTAGCACAAGAGATTCTCCCCCTCTGACCAGCATGCTGCAAGCTGTGTATTGCATTTATAAGTGGCTTGGGGATGCAGGAGGAACCCATGGAGAAGCCAGGGATGTGGCTTCCAGTGCCAGCAGCACTGTTTGTTTAGTTCTAGTGCCAAAGAAAAGGTTGTGTTCTGACGCAGGCCCACAACAAAGGTTGAGGAGGTCGAATCCTGGGCAGGAAATCCTTCAACTCTTAAGCGGAACTCTGCCCCTTCTAGCCCGGGGCCTGGGAGCCAGCCAGCATCTCATCAGTTCTGGGTACTCTCAGGAACTGGCCAGTCTTTTCCTTGAAGGAAATCCTTCCCTAGCTGAAGTGCCAGGTGGAATTAACATGCATTTCTGGGTCATCCTTGATGGTTAATGATGAAAAGATAAGGGGAGCCTTGGGAAACAATTGATTTTAGGCTCCTGCTTGTGCCAAGGGAGTTCAGTCCATAACATGATAGCTGTATCTGGAAAGGCTCCCGAAGGTCCGTTAGTCAACTTCCATCTCATGGCCCCTTTCTCTTTTCCAGCAAGGTCTTTGCAGGAGTTTGCCAGTGTTCTCAGGAATCTTGAAGATGAACGGATACGGATGGTGAGTACTGCTGGGCTACTCTTGGTCCCAGATAGTGTGGGCACATGTAGGGAGCACAGGATTTGTCAGAAGAACTGGGCTTGGGTTCAGGCTCTGCTACTTGCGTGCTTTGAGCTCTTGGGCAAGCCTTATCTTCTCATCTTTGCAGGGTTTGAAGACTTCAGTACAACATAGGATATATGTACTTGGATAATTTGAGAATGACTTCCTTGCCCTTATAAAAATTCACTGTAATGTGTATATATAAGATATATGACTTCTGGGTGTATCTTTACAATGATTTAACTCTTTGGGGACTTATATTTTTCTATTGGCAGAATGGGAACGAAGGTGCCCCACTCTGCAACTCCCCGTACCCCCTTATTAAATTTATCCAAGAAGCCTTGGAGGTCAGGGTCACTCCTTCTAATTCTGAAGCTCCTAACAGTGCCTGTCGTGTAGAAGGCACCCAGTAAACGGGAACTTAGAAGTGATGGTAGCTCTAAAAAGTTCTTCAAAGAGAGGCACTGTGAAGTTCAAGGACCAAAGGCTGACCTTCAGGTTCCTAAGAGATCTCTTTTGCATAAGAATTTATTCTGATGTGGTTCAGCATTAACAGGTGAGGGATTCCATATCCACAGGATACCATATCCCTAAGATATCAGGTCTGAGGCCTGGTTTGAAACCCTTACTGGCTGCATGTTGATTTGTCCTCAGGAGGGCTCCAGAGGCTGGGGGAAGAGTCCATTAATGAACATTTTTTTTTTCTCTTCCCATGCTAACAACTGAAATGGTTTGACACTAAATTTCCTGTCTTGGTCAGCTTGGGCTGCCAAAATACCGTAGACTGGGTTGCTTAAACAACAAAGATTTATTTCTCACAGTTCTGGAGAATCGGAAATCCAAGATCAAGGGGCTGACTGCTGTGGTTCTGGGTGAGGGCTCTCTTTCTGGCTTGCAGATGGCAGCCTTCCTACTGTTTCCTCACAGGGCAGAGAAAGGGTGGGGATGCTCTCAGGTCTCTTCTTACAAGGGCACTAATCCCATCAGGGGGACTCCACCCTCAAGACCTAGTTAGCTTCCAAGAGATCCCATATTCAAGTGCTATCACATTGTGGGTATTAAAAGATAAACTAAAGCATATTAAATTTGTAAGAGCTTATGTGAGCAAAAATCAATTCAAATTGGGTAGCACCAGCCTGGAAGTAGTGGGAGTGCTCTAGCTACAGGAGCCTGGGGAAATAGTAATAAAGAAATGTGGAAGCAAAGCAAATAAATTATTTAATTGGCTATCGCTTAAATGGTTGCCTTATTTGGGAAAGCCTCTTTGTTTGCGACTACTTAGTATTAGGTTTTGATTTCTTAACCTTGAGTTATTCACAGGCTTAGGTCTTGGGTTGCTGTTGTAGGCTACTAAGGCATTAGAGCCACGTTGGTCCAATGGCCCCTTGTTTAATTAATTTGCCAGGGTAAAATGAATTAGGGTGAGGGTGGGGCAGGAGATGCAAGTTAGTTCTTCGCACCCACCAAGACATTATGTAGTCACATGTTTTCCATTTCAACCCTCATGATGACTCTGTGACGTGGTGCCTGTATCATCCTTATTGTCCAGATGAAGGTGTCGAGGCTTAAACAGGTTATGCAACATGCCCAAGGTCACACAGTGGCATGGTCCAGATTCAAACCCAAGCATGTGCTATGCCAAAGAATGTGTTATGCCAAACAGAGCAGAAGGCTGTCTCACCTTCTGTCCTGCAGAGAGACACTGTTTTCCTTGAGTGCTCATTGCTGGGCGCCTGAGCCAGAATCAGGCCAGGGTGGCAGCAGCAGCAGGGCGGCTGGTGGGTGGAGGCCGGGAAAGCTGTGTTTGTGCACGTGCTAGTGCCGGAGAAAGGGAAATGATTCTTTGGAGTCTGATTCTTGGCCGAGCCAGTATTTGGGGGTGGGTGGTGTGGTGAGCAAATCACGATAATACCCCGCAGATTGCTATGGCCTGCAGCAAGGGAACAATGACTGGATTATTATACTTTTCAGCTTGCCTCTGCAATTTTATTATTAATGTCAGTGAGTTGAGTTTCTACTGTCTGCGTCTGAGTCTCTGGCCATCGCAAGCCCCTTCCCTACCTCCTCACCCCGTGACAGCTTCATCACCAATTCAGCTCAGCTTAGCAAAGCTGCACCTTCTTTGGAAAGCCTTCCCTAATGCCCTGAGATATTCGGCCATCCTTTGTATTCTCTTAATATCTACTTCATGCCTCTAATTCTGCAGTCAGCACAATTTCCTGATGATCGCTGCACGTGTCCCATAGTAAATAGGAGTCCTTGAAGGGCAGAGAGTGGGCTACTGTGTCCCTGATGTTTGTACAGTGTGTGGAACTGAGTGGAAATTACACAATCATAGAATCATAGACCCAGGAGAACCTTATTCCTCACCTCTGCAGTCCCTCATTTGACAGATTAGAAAGTTGAGGTCTTACGAAGGCTAATGGCAAGCAGTGGAAGGACCAGGGCAAGGACTTGGGCATTCTGAGTCCCAGGTGAGCGGCTACTGCTTTTCTATATTTAGCATTTATTTAGGGCTGGGTTGTCAATCATGGATGCCCTTTGGAACAACTTGAGTTTAAAACATACTGATGCCTGGGATGAAGTATAGAGTTCTGATTTAATTGGTTTGGAGTGTGGCCTGGACATAGAAATATTTAAAAGCTCCCCAGGTGAGCTTAACATGTGACTGGAGCTGAGAACCGCTGACTTAGGGGCTCAGACACTGTTGTGGGCCTTAGGGACTTACACTTGATTGTGGAAAAGACTTAAACAGGTGAGCCAACTAAGTCACATCAAATAACAAAAATCAAACAAGTTAAATGACACTGCACAATTCCAGCCTTGCTCTGGGCTCAGACACTGTTGTGGGCCTTAGGGACTTACACTTGATTGTGGAAAAGACTTAAACAGGTGAGCCAACTAAGTCACATCAAATAACAAAAATCAAACAAGTTAAATGACACTGCACAATTCCAGCCTTGCTCTCTACTAAAATAAGTGGCCTCAACATTGAGAAAAAGACAAAGGGTAATAAATTTGGAGATCTGCCACCTTCTACCCCTCACTTTGTCCAGTTAGGTCTCTCTGTGTCCATGTGTGCTTCTGGCCTGTCCTCTGTTGGTCGCATTGCAATGGATATGCATGTGATTTAGAAAAATAAAGCTTTGTTCCAATGAGATTCTTGAAATAATTAGTTGAGCAACGAATAAGCAGCGAATGACTTAAGAGGAAAGATTATGAAATATTGTACTGATTTACAAAAGACCATGGAATCTTAGAGCTGGAACAATCAAGCCCAATTATTTGTAGGCGAGGAAATTGGAGCCTAGAGAGGTTAAATGTTTTGTCCATGGTCATGTAGTTGGCAGCCAATCAAGAAATCATTCATTCATTCATGGGGTCATTGAAACATATTTGAGTGTTCCTTTGTTTTAGGATTCTTCTGTATTTTGGGGATGGTGGTGGATAAGTGAGCATTTACATGAGGGTGTGTGCATATACGCATGTGTGTGTTCTTGTGTGTGTGTGTGTGTGTGTGTGTGTGTGTGTGTGTGTTCTGTAGTGGTGAACAGAAAACTTTAGCTGGCTTTTGTCTTCTGAAGAAAAACCTTGGTGGGTTGTTGGGAAGTTTCTTTGGATTCTGTTGGTGGTCATGGAAAGCCTCCCTAAAGAGGTCACCTTGGGGCTGAAACTTGAATTGCACTGTGTAATGAGTCGTCCTCAAGGGGATTTGGGGACAGAGCATGTGAGTTAACAGCAAAATGCAAAGACCTAGAAGTGGGACAGGTTTGCTATCTCAAATAGTGATGATATAGTTGGAGTGCAGGACCTGAGGAGGTGAGGCTGTGAGATGAAATTGAGAGGCAGCCAGGTTAAATGTTTTGTCCATGGTCATGCTTGTTAACTACAAGCACCCTGATCATAGTCCAGTAGTGGTATAGGTCTATACCAAGTCCAGATGGCAGAGTTTCATGCCACCAGATATCAGGTGCTCTATTTGTTTATAATCCAGACTCAGTGTTGACCTGCTTTAAATATGTCTGCTTAAATAGAATTTGGGTGAATAAGCATTTCCAAGATGTCACTGGAAGCTTGAAATTTAGATCCTACCTTGTCACTAGTTTTCCTCCACCTTCAATTGGTTGCTTACATTTTTAGAGGTCCTAATTTTTCTTTCGAAACAATCAATTTTAATCCTGCCTGGGAATAATACCATGCTTTGAACTGATGGCTAGACTTTGACTTGACATGCTGTCAGTTTCAAGTATTGTGAGCAGTCACCACATGCATGGTGTTGCTTACTCACATTTTAGGTGGAGACGTGGGAGCATTTTGTGCCAGACTGCTCTGATTTTTTACTGATGCTGCTCTTGCGTCTCCCCCCACCCCACCCCACCAGATTGAGAATGCCAGTGACGTGCTCATCACACCCTTGGAGAAGTTTCGGAAGGAGCAGATTGGGGCTGCCAAGGTGAGAAATTTCCAACTCTTCTTGGATTTTAGGGCGGGAGGTCTGGAAAAACACACCTTCTTCAGAAAATCTTGGGCGGATAAGCCTGGAACCTAGTTCTTCACAAGTGTCTGAAGACAGCCTGTGTGCTCATCCCCAGAGCAGTCATTCTAGTATTTTGTTATCTAATCATCCTGTGCTAGTTCATAAATTGTCCAAAAGGTAGAAACCATGCCTCCTCTGTGTTAGTAGCTAGATACCTATATGCTTGGACAACATAGGATTGATTATATTTATTGTGAGGTCCAGGACTCGGAACCTAGAACATGGGTGACAGATTGGGCCCTGTGGTTGTGGCACACTGTTCTTAGCTCACTTTGGCTGTGTGTGCAAGTGAGTTTTCTCATTAGACCTTTACATTTTTTAAGAGAAACTGAAAAGTCAGAGTTTTATATGAAAAAGCCTGGTTCCCAAAAAGAATGTTGGCAAATAATTAAAAAAATATATTACACATTGTGCATGTCTAAAAGTGGGGCTGCTACAGCCCAGAGGTCACCATTTGTTGTCACTGGCTTGGTGGGACTGTAGCCCACACTTGGCTGATTCTATTGTGTTACAGAAAGACCGCAAAGGGAGCCTTGTTCATGTTTAAGAGGTGGATTCTCCCGGGTTTCTCACCCTGTGAGAAATCACTAGAAGCCCTAGCTAGTTTGACCTTCAGTAGAGTGTTAGAGACCACCTGCAGGGAAGATGTTTTCATTGGACTCAATGAAAGTAGGAGGATTTTCCAGATTTTCTTCTTGCTTTTCCAAACTGTGTCCTTTAGCCACAGTCCCTTGCGCCACCTGCAGGGTGTTTTGGGCAGCATCTCACTCTGATCTGTTTTATGGATTTGACTCAGTTGTGAAATGGTCTTGAGAGGTGCCTGTAGGTGGGAAATGGATAGCTGAAATGTAAGAAGTGGGGTCTTCTCCCCTTTCCCCCATCCCCCAAGTGCATCTGCTTTCTAAAAATGAATATATCAAGGCCTGAGATGATGCTCAATTCAGTCATTCTTTGAAGGAGGAACCACGGCAAATATTTTTCTCCTAATTCTACAGCACTTTTCTACCAATTTTACAGTTTACATTTATGAAGAAATTGGAGATGATTGGTTTTTGTATCAGAGATTAAGGAATGCCTAATTTAAAGGGATGTCTGTTTCATTAGGATTTTGTCCAAGACTTTGAGCAAACCCAGTGTTCCTGGGGAGTGTTCCTCCCCTGTCCTCGCTGACGCAGGCCCAGTGAGTAACTTCTCTTTAGTGGCTTTGGGGTCTGTGCCTCCCACTCCTGAAGACACGAGGCAGCGGCTCCGGAGGCTCTGAAGAGCTTTGCGGCGGAGGCAGCGCGGACCTGTGCACTGAGTCATCTTTCCAATAGTCACTTCTCGCTCTGAGCACAGCCGCCTCTCACTCTGGCCTCTCCTCTCGGCACTGGTTTGAAGGTTTATCAGTTAGCACGGGGGAGGAGCGGAAGCCTGTGTGGGGCTCCCTTTGGGTTAATAGCATTGATCAGAATTACAGGAGCAGGTTCTTTTCCAGGTTGGGTGGTGGGGGCGGGGGCTATAATGGTGAGAAATACGAGAATTAAAAATTTTAAGAAAAATGGTTGCTCACCAAAACATGTTTCTGCGCATACACATTCCATTCTCTCATTCCTGATTGAAGAATAATGTGGTGATGTTGGGGATGATTGCTCAACCCTTCTCCTTTGTCATTTCTTTCTTTCAGTATACGTGTTCCTCTCTTCCCCTCCATACATTTCAGAGGTAGTGAAGAAACAACAAACCCTGTACTAGGTGATCTAGAGAGAAGGTTTAAGAACAGTTAAGATCTAGCGAAGGATGTTTAGTGGCTAAGTTCAAGTTTCTGAACCCTGCCTGTGTGATGTTAAAATTACCCTTCCTCCTCTTGGTCCCCTCTGGTGCTGCTTCCGTTGCTGTAACAAGCTGTTGCTACTTGCAAGACACTGCAGTTAGAGTGTGGGGTGTGAAGGCTGCTAGGGAGGTGGGCTCCTGGGCTTTCTTGTGCCAATGTGGCTTCTCGGGTAGGTGCCACCCTGCAGCTCGGTGTGACCATGGCCCTACAATGTTTAGAGTTCTGAGTTTGGGGGAGCTTATTTTTCCTGCAGCCCTAGCTGTGCTCTCCAGTGAAAGTAGAATAGACATTGGTGAGCAGTGGTTAGGTGTGGACACTCGAGCTAGGTTGCTTGAGTCCAACTCTCATTCTGCCATTTGGATGTAAACTTGAGGAGGTTACTGCTCCATGCCCATGTCCTGAGCTATAAAGCAGGGATCACAATAGTACTTACCTCACAGTTATTACAAGGGAGAAATGTGGGAACTCATATAAAGTGCTTAGAGCAGTGTCTGTCATATAGTTATTGATGTTAGTTATTATATTCCATACACATAGTTGGTTCATTAACAAAATGAGCGAGAGCCCGCTGTGTGCCTGGCCCTGCGCTATACACTGGCGTCTGGTAGAGAATGAGCACAGCTGTGGTTCTGTGCTCATGGTGTGGCTGGGGAGAAAGACATCAGGCACAGAGATACAAGTAAAATGCAACCTCCAAGTGTGCTGTGAAGGGTTACCATCCTGGGCCACAGGCCATGGAAAGCAGGTGGTGTTCCCCATAAGAAGGAGGCAGGTTTAGATGCTGGACCTCATCATTGCCATCGCCACCATGGCTACCACCATCTTGGTCAGCATCACTGAGATTTGCTGCACACTTTGCATGTGCCTGGTACTCTGCTAAGCATTGTACATGGTTTATCTCATTTAGTCCTAACAATCCTATGAGGAAGTGGGTGTCCTTACCCTTATTTTATTAGTCAGTCTTTGAGCTGAACGAGGAACCTGAGGAATTAGCTCATGCAGTCACCCTCACTGTACAGATAACATCTAGTATACCACGCCCTGCAGAGGGGCAGTGGTTTGTTTAGAGTAAATCCATACAGAGCTGGGACTTTAGGATCCTACTCTGTCCTTCATCCCCTTAGCCACCATCGTGGATGCCCTGGAAGATGAGCACCGTCCTGTCCCCGAGTAACTGAGTAATACCACTCTCCCATCTTAAGAGCATTACGTAAATCTTAGTGTTAATTCCCCTAGAGGTCTTGTTGTGGCTTGGACAGCACTGTCTCTTTCTCTTTCGCTTTGGCTGTCCTCTTGAACATGGAATGTGGTGGCTCGAGTTGCCAGAAAGTCATGGGATTCCAGTGACTCATGTTCCCAGCCTTTTCTCACCTCTGGTTAGCTGCACTGTCCTGGCACAGGGTTCTCCTGTCTGGGATGTCTGGCAGGGCTGGTGGAGTGGCTAAGTGACATTAACTAGGACATAGAGCCGCAGCTCAGTCACTGGTTTGTATGAAGGAGAAGGTTGCTTGAGTCAAGTGTCTTGCCTGTACCTCTCAAACTTGAAGGAGTAATGTCTCCTTGGGCTTTTCTTCATTTGCTTCTGCATGTTTCATTTTTCTTGTACGTAAATAGCCTTTTAAACAAAATTCAGATTAGTAGAAATGGGTAGGCGTCAGCTAAAATTGAATAGATGATCATTCTGCTCAATTTGTGAGGCCTAGAGGTTTGCTCTTCACCAGATAAATGGTGTCTGACACGACAGGAGCTTGTCGGGGCTTCAGGTGACGGCTTCTTGGTGACTTTTGCGCCACTTTGGCTGTGTTCTGTCCGGAGCACCTACTGCTCTCCTGCTCTAGAAGCATCCACTTGGCCCCTCACAGTATCAGCAGGTCTCAGCTTCCACCTCCCCTCCCCAGTGGGGCCTCTTCTGAGCACCCTACCTGCAGAATCTCTGTGCCTGAACCCTGTTCATTTCCTTCCCAGCACGGTGGCAGTCTATAATTATGCTGTTTACTTGTTCAGTGGCTGTGTTTCTTCTCCTGGACCATCCTCACCATGAGGGTAGGGACTGCTGCTGTCTTGTATTTCAGTGCCTAAAAGAGCCCAATACAGAGTGATTTCGTGTTATATTTTTATTAAATGAATAGAGATGTCTCTGAGTTTTCTTATCTGGCTGCGAAAAATTTTCATCTGTTAGAGGCCTTGGAGTTGCAGAAAAATCCTCTGTGGGCTCCACATACTTAAAAGCAAGAACGATGCCTGGAGTTAGTAAATTTGATCCTGGTTAGCAGGCCGGTGCCAACCTTCTCCCACCCATCCCCATTGGGATATAGAAGGAAGAGGCGCCTGTGACAGTGTGTCTCAAGTGTGGTTGAGACGTGGGCTTTGGAGGCAGCTTGTCCTGGGCTCGAATCCCAGCTCTGTCACTCTCTGCAGCTTTTTACAAGTTAATGTCCCTGGGTCTAAGTTTTTCTCGTCTGTAAATGGGAGATAAATATAGAACCTCACTGACTCAAGCATGTGGTGGGATTGCAGGGATTATTATGTGTATTATGATATTCACATTTTTCATTTTAAAAGCAATTAATATAGGACAATAAAAATATCATAAATGGAGGGGCAAAAGCATGCATTATTCCATTGCCTTACCTCAAGTATTTTCATTTTGGAATCTTCCCATCTAATCTTTGTCTCTAGGTATAGACACTCAATATAGGATGTACCAAGTTTATATCATGCTATTATTGCTTTTCATTCTTTGGTGAGAAATTTTCCATTTTACTGCCTTGCCTTTCCAGTTGTATACGTTGGATGTTCTATACTTCAATTATCCCAAATCCTAACTTTGGGCAGTAATGTTACTGCCACTGTTTCTCTCTCTCTCTCTCTCTCTCTCT